ACAGGAAAGTAGGTACAGAGATAACAGGAAAGTAGGTACAGAGATAACAGGAAAGTAGGTACAGAGATAACAGGAAAGTAGGTACAGAGATAACATGAAAGTAGGTACAGAGATAACAGGAAAGTACTGCTTTGTGTAACGCCTACTCAGGACTTTTGTTTATGCATTTCAGGCAGGCATTTTGTAATGCCAGCTTGTTACAGATGAATAAGAAACTGGCATAACTTGATTTATGCCTGAATATGATTGATTGTACAGGTGAACCTTGATAACTCAAACCTCCCTAAGTCAAATACCCCACTAAGTCGAATTTTTTGAAGGTCCTGTCTGAATCCCTTTAGAACAAATGCATTTAAAACCTCCCTAAGTCAAAAGCTTTTTCCCTCAAGCCTCCATAAGTTGAATTTTCTGTGGCCTGTTGGCTTTTATTTTCTTGACACAAGAAAGAAAAAAAGGAATAAAACATAAATTGATTTGTTTAAAAGGAGACAAGAGACTTAATTGGGCAAATGAACCCTGTCTCCAAGTTCATAATGCTTTCAACTAATCTAAGAAGTAATTTCAGCCTCAGAATATTAAAATTTACAATTTTGAGCAATGTTTTCCAGCGCAAAAGGGCTTTGTATTGTTGCTCAATTCAAACCTCTTCAAGTTGAATATTTTTTTCTGGTCCCTTGAAGTTTAACTTACAGAGGTTTGACTGTATTTCAGAAATGTGTTAGATGTGCGTTTTAAAGAAAAATTTGTTATGTATAATATCTATTTGTAGTGGTTACATTTGTTGTTGTATGGTGGTAGTATTTTTTTGTGAGGGATCTGTTTTTTCTTTTTAGAATTTTCTGTCAGATGCTGGATATGCTGTGTTTTTATTGGGTTCCATATTTATTCATTTTTTGTTTCTCTCTTTCTTTTTTTTTATTTCTAGGTTGTGCCATGGTGGACTCGTGCTCCAATTTGCTGACCGGTGACCAGTTCTACAACTTCCTCAACTACAATTTTGATCGGCACTACTTGACGAATCGGGCTCCTTTCGGACTCTATTTCCACTCGGCCTGGTTGAAGAATAACCCAGAATTCTTCGACGCTTTCCTTTACTGGATCGACGAGGTCCTTTCCCAGCACAAGGACGTTTACTTTGTCACCATGACACAGGTACGCATGCACATTTGCCGTATTATTTGCGACCGAACGTAATTTGTTGACATAAATTTGGTTTGTTCGCTTTATAGTGAGAGTGAAAAAAAAAATGTAGTGTAATGATTTCCAGACGTTCGATTTTATCATTATTCTTGCGAGGGGAAGAGCATATTTTTTCCCTGATTAGTGTACTTTTGTTCTCCCCGGCTTTAACTGGATGCCGATTTTTGTTTGTTTATTTTTTGCTGAGTCAATCACGTCATGAGTGTCTTTTCTTGGAATGTGGGCGAGGTCATTGGGAAATGCCGATTTATGCATAGAAAACGCCGGGAGAGCCATGAGAGAGAAAAGTCCCATTCAAGTCCCCATTGAATATTTATTTTTTATTCAACTGCTTTGGAAGATATACTATATACTAGATATACTATGATTCAAAGCAGGTCCCAAAATATTTCAGTTTACATTTGAAAGCAAATTAAGGTAGTTTTTAGCCTTTCAAAAGCATGCTTGCCTTATTCAAGGGTATTTTTCCTCGATATATCCGCGTGTTTTTTTTCACAGTACAGTAGTATACAATGCAGTAATTTCAGTATTTTTTCATTCTTGTTTTTTTTTCCTGTGTGAAATTTACTTCCAATGATGCAACTTTTCTCTCTCTTTCTCTCTCCGGGGTTTCTTATGTGTTGGTATTTTATCATGACGATCTTTTGTTGGGCGTCATGAGGGGACTGTAATCGTGCGGGGGCAGTCTATAATTTATATACTTTTTGGGGTCCTTCCGTAATCCTTTTTGAGTATGTAAAATTTTCACTTGTACACCTCAGACTCCTGATGCGATCAAGATCAGAAGCGAAAGTGCAGATGGACGCTTGAGTGACGTGGCACTGAGCAGTAGATATTTATTCATCGTTATCACAAAATTTCATCAAACTGAAATGACGACCGGTCCCGATAATTATCCGATTTTTCCAGCACATCACACCCAGGAATTTAAATTACTACCTCTATATTCTTGACTAACTGCCAATTCTGTAGAATTTCCGATTTTTTTTGTGTGTGAATATTCGCGTTATGCATATTTTATTTTATTTATTTATTTATTTATTTTTAAAGTTCAACCGCGTAAAACTTCCACGCCCATTTATTTATTTTTTTCTTTAAAAATGGGATAGGCTTGAAAATAAAAAGCTCAAGTTGAATACATGAAACACAAATACTGTATCAAATTTACGTTTTAAATTGAAGTTCTTGTCTCTTCCGAAAGTCCGCATGATATGAGCATGAAAATGAATCAAAATATTTACAGTCAGTGCAAAAAATGTAGAATTGAAATTGATTCTGAATTTGACTATCGAAAAGTCCACAAAAATACAGTAATTAAAAATGTAAAATCGTTTGGACTTGTCTAAAAATTTATTTGGAGAAAATAGTGAATGGATATTATTTGATGACCAATAAGCGTTGGCTGCAATATGTGACTTACTGCAGGATAATCCAATAAAATTTACGAAAGCATTTTTTTGTTGTTGTCGATATATCTTCTTAATCCGGCCTCTCCTTTTCGATAATTTCTAAATATGTATCACGAATGTTTAAAATCGCTCTCATCATTTCTCTATATACCGTATGTTGCATTCAATTACAGCACTGTTTAATCTTATTTAATTATTTAATATTGCTTAATTTTATTTTAATTTTGTGTGGTAAATCCCACAGGCGATCCAGTGGATCCAGAACCCGAGGACGACGGACGAGGCGCGGGCCTTCGAGCCGTGGAAGGAGAAGTGCAACGCGGAGCCCAGCAGCAGTGTTTGTGGCACCCCGAGAGCGTGTCCTCTGACGTCCAAGGAGATTTCTGGGGAAACTCTCAGGCTCCACACATGCGTCAAATGCCCTGCCAATTACCCCTGGCTTCTGGACCCCCTCGGGGAGGGCAGGTAAAAAATAAAGAAAAGAAATAAAAATAAAAGAGAGAGAGAGAGAGAGAGAAAAAGAATCCCGTAGTTCGAAGAAATATTGTGGTCCGGGGGAGTTACGTGTTTAAGGATGAGATAACGTAGTCTTTATACAGGTGCTGCGTGGTGAAATAATCCTCTATAATATCTAGTACTGTACAGTATACTTGTACAGTATTTGAGTAAAAAGATAAAAGTGAAGAATTTCTCGTCCTGCTCCTGGCATGTGTCTGAATACCAGACGAACTTCAAGGGATTAAAAAAAAAATAATCGAGTTGTGGAGGTTTCGATTTCGGGAAAACGAAAATTTGGGGGGGGGGATTAACAGGAAATTGTAATTTCAGCACTGATATTCCGGGCCATTAAATTGATCCTTAAATGAGTTGACGGGATTCAGAACTTTTAGGCAAGAGTTCATTCGCGCAATTATCATCTTTCAATGAATTCCTTTCGAAACACGTAAAGTTGCATTTTCATTGCTTTTTCATTCCACTGTCAATAAAATAAGGCCTCCTGGAAATTCAAATTTTATGGAGGCTTTAGAGGGGAAAACCTTTGAGTTAAAAGTTTTTTTTAATGCATTGTTTTTATTTGGAAAATTCAGGCAAAGACTTTAAAAAATTTCGAAATAGGGAGGTACAGTATTTCCATTTGGAGAGATATTGAGGTACAATAACTGTGTGTTGACATTTACCCGGAGTTCATTCTTTCACGGGACGTTTTACTTAAGGGCATTTTCTCTGGTATAATGAGCACTACACTATATGTCTTACCGATAATTCCGAGATTATAGCTTTGTCCGAATGTCATGGAAGGGAATCTTTCAAAAAGATAAACAGTATTTCAATTGTACTGTATCTTGCTTCAGTGATACTGTATATGTAGATGGATCTTTTGTTTTTATTCATTTACTTTTTGAATGGTACTTCATTTATGAAAAGGAACTTGATATAATTTTATACGTAAGCGTGGAGATTGTGAGTGGTTTCGATGCTCATTCCTTTGATCTTCTGATACTGTACAGTATATACCTGGTGGGAATGTAGTGTATTATTTTCGCTTGATATAATGCACTTCAAACACATTTTTAAAAATATTTTTTTAAATTGAGTAGTAACAACATTTTTTCCACATTTGTCTGACATTTTTGTTTCGCGGTTTTCGAAGATACTAGAATGAAGATATTTTTACCCAAGGATTACACGTTTCACGTTCTCAATGATGAATTTTGCAGACGACGATGTAATGATATTATTACCACGTATTCACACAAATGTTTAAATATCCTGTGTTTTCGTGAAATATTATTGCGTGCAAAAAGCAAAGTATTGGACTGCGCCTCAAAATCAGACACACACGTCATTGTCTCTTATTTTTTGAATGATCTCATTCCCGTGACAATCCTGAAGCACATCGATTGAGGACGCTTTCAAGATTTCCATGAAACTATATGCATTCTAATTTTTTTTATTCTTATTCTTGGAACCCGTCAGCACAGGGTCAAGGGAGAAGAAGAAAAACACGTGACCCCGAAAGCATTTTGACACGAAAAGTTCCCCAATCCTACGAACCATCGTCATTCGGGGAATTCTCGCAGCTTATATTGACCATCACTGGTGTATTTATTTATTTCTTTTTCTTTTTCTGCCCCCGACAGGATTTAAGGTCTGATGCAGCCCACACATGCGACTGTGAATGGACTGATTGGAGTGACGGCGAACGATGATTCTATCTTCTACGGCACTCGAGCGAGTGCCTCAGGTTATTACACATGAGACAAAGTGCTGGAGGTTTCATTCGGTTCTGTTATGCTTTGTGCTTCGTATTTTCAGCTGCGTTTCGATGATGATGATGATGATGATGATGATGATAATACGGTAATCTGTGCTGAAAGGTCATTTTCCCTCGTTATTGGCTTGGAAAGAAAAAAAAATGTTTGGGAGGCTTGATCAAGGTCAAGGTCTCTTGCATCCTGCTACTGGAAGTTCTTGAAAAAAGTTACCGTTAGCTTCGGTTGACACGGAGGACTATACTCGGATCCGTGAATTCAGTTGCCATGGCTTTATATGTACGGAGATGCCCATGATAATAATACGGATGTGCATTTAAATTTATGAATAAAGATATTTGTGTCCAAGATATAGATTTAGGGGGAATCGTAATCTTTGTTTGATAAACCAGTTTGATTGATGACCTTCTTGCGAGCATAATTTTGCTTGTCGCTTATATACTGATGTTGATGAGATGCTGTATCCGGAAGAATTAAATTTTTTAAATCGTGAGGAAAGTTCGTCAAGTTCATCGGCAGCGAAGATATGACGAAACATGTTTAAGAAGCTTGACTCATAATGAACGCATAAAATGAAAGGAAAACGGTATTCGTTTGAAGTTAGTTTTGATGAGTGTGACAGGTATTTTTAAGAGATCTAAGACATTTTTTTATTATGTCATTGATGAGATTTTGAATGCAAATTCTAAATTCTTTGCTCAAGAATTACTGCGCTTCTCTGATAAAGTCGTTAAAACAATAAACTATTTTTTTTGTTTCTTTCTGAGAATGATCGAATTTTGAAAAATTGTTCAAAAGTCATATAATTTTGCTCAGTATATTTCTGATTTTAAAAAAAAAATCGAATTACTGCCACGATTTATTTTTCGAATATTACATGAAAAAGGAGTTTTTATCCTGTTTATGGAAAGTTCCTTGAAGGCTAAAATGTCAAGTTCATATTTCATATTACAGTATTTTACTTGCCTCTCGAAATTCTAAATCTAGAATTTCTAATTTTTCCGCTGCTTGATTCTATCCTAATTCTTGTCATGACGTTTTATAAATGCCTATTTCAAGCATGATTTCAATGTTTCCCATATTCTCTCCGTCGAAAAAAATGTTTGAAAAAAAAGAAGATCGCAAATGAGAGTTATTTCTGTCGATGAAAAGGTGAGACATCATGAAGTGCTACAGAAAGAAGGGGGTGTAGAAGGTTTTTGACTTTTCCGTGTCGTTGTATGTTTTCCAATATGTTGTGACGTTGTTCACGCGAGTTATTTAAGGCGGTACATTGAATGACTGAAGGCACAAAAAAAATACATTGAAAATAGAAAAAAAGTAATGCTTGTACGTGTGTGCATTTTGCGTTTTGACTGCGTGGGATTGATGTTGACTTTCAACGCCTGTTCTGAAAAGTCTGTTTTTGTTTTGTTTTCAGGGAAAGTGTCAATCTTTCCTCATATATAGAGGACAAATATGTTGTTGTGTGTGATTTCTGTTGCCCTCCTGGCGAGTGCCTGTTTCGGTGAGTGCTTTCTGCATTTTTTCCCCCATCAAAAAAATTCCTGAGGGGGAAAATTCTAAAATTGAAATAATTATTAAATTAAATTATTATTTACATTAAGTTATTATTATGTATTATTAAATTATTATTTATATTAGCTTATTATTATGTATTATTGAATCATTATTTATATTAAATTATTATTATGTATTATTAAATTATTATTTCTAAATTATTAAATTATTATCTGTAAGAGTTTGTCAAAAGCCTGACTCAATTTACTATTTGAAAATCATTCTCCAGAGTCCTCAGAGCTCTCCACAAGTTTCCCTGCAGAGAAATGCGATTTTACTATTACAAATCGCATTCTCGAATAGTTATTTGTTAGTAAATATTGTTCCGAATTTATCTAGTTGAAAACAGACTTTTTCATAGTTCGTTTCATGTTGAAAATATTTGCTGGTGAATGAAATTACGCGTACCCCAAAAGCATGCAGGTCAATGGTTCTCAAAAAAGGAATTTTGGGGTTGAGAAATGCAGCTGAGTCATACTATTGAGTTCTGCTATCTCCCACCTGATCTCGAAAAGAAGAATGCGGCGCATCCTGGCTGACTCGCCAGAAGGGTCTGGTGCCCTCCGAACTTTGAACTTGAATAGAAAAAGGGAAATATTCCTGTTTCAAACTTTGCAAAGAAAAGTCCCGTTTTGGTTTTGAAATGAATTCTCAACTAGTCTCGAAGATCCCGCTGAGATAAGTAAGCCACAGGGCAAGGAAGATACTCGGAAAGGGCTAAAAATTTTTCATTCTGGGTTCACTACTCTTAAGAGGAACTACCTCAAAAAGGTCTGGCCACCTTTCAATTTGATACTTGACTCGCAAAGTGTTTGCATTCTTCAAAAGTGTGCGACTTAACTCAAGCTGCATTCAACTACTCAATTTGCAGCTTGGTTTTTAGTTATTCAAAGCCATCTGGGCAATACTCGCGGCAACGCATATTTCATTTCCTTTGGGCCTCTGATATGTATTCAAGATGCAGTTTTGACTTGAGAAAATTGTATGTATTCAAGACGCAGTTTAGACTTGAGAAGCGCGAGTGTTTTTTACAATTTGAACTTGATTTTGACTTGTGTCTCTTTGCTCCTTATCAGGCAGAGACATGTAAGGATTGTGCTACCAATTCAACATCTAGAGACCTAATGAACCTTTTTTGATTTTATAAACAAAAGCAAGGTTATTTGACTAAGGATCCTTGAAACTGGGTTAGCACCCCTTGACCATCTGTCTTCATTGAATCCTGCATCTGGCATCAGACTTACGCCCATTAAAAGTCATTAGGAGAGAATGACTTTTGCCAGCAACTTTCTCTGCAATTTGGACCGGTGGAAAAGTAAGGATTCAAGCTCCACCGCATCATAAATATTTGAAAACATCCAACACCTCTCCAAACTGCTGTGGACAATGCAAAATGGACAAAAAGCAAACGTTTTCATGGTCCTCCAAACTGGATCTCAGGTCAGAGTCAATATCTAGGGTACTTTGCAAAGTCCTGAAACTGAACAGGCCAGCTATCTTGCCATTGTCAGAGATCTATTGAAAAATTTGTGCTAAGACCTGATCATAAACAGGCCAGCTGATACACTGCCGTTGTTTGTGTATTATTTCTGAAAATTGGGAAAAATGTCGGACGGGCATGAGTACCGAAACTTGGCATCTGAAAAAGACCCAAGTCCTGCTGCAGGAAGAATAACTCCTCAGCAGAAGAAAAATGCTGCAGAAACCTCCACGTCTGAGACAACAGAGGAGCGTGACAGCACCCTTCACACCTCCAGGGAAGCTAGCTCTCAACTGGACCACAGCATCAAGGAAGCAACAAAACTCATGGCAGAAATCAACATTTACATTGGTGAGTTGAGTATCAATGGAAAATGTGGCCATAAATATTTTGAATTAGCTGCTTCCAATTTAACTGAAGGGGAAATTAATTTCAAATTATTAAAAAGTCTCTCGCAAAACAAAGAAGACCAATCATTAGCAGACAAGTGGTTAAAATTAAGGGAAAGTCTGCTGATTAGGAGAGAAAGATTGGTCTCGCAAATGTTGGAATTGTCGGCGGATTTGACTGAAATTACCTGCCCAAATTCCCAAGATGGAAAGGCAGAGAAACAAGGCGCAAAAAAAGATCAATTGGTGACGCAAAATGCAAATTTAAATTCAGGCCAACTGGCCAATTTTGGTACCCTGCAACCGCAGCAAAATGCTGCTTCAATTTATGGCTCAGCAGGGGCCAATGTATCTATGACCATTGGCCACTTGCGTCAGATGAAGGAAGGTAAATTGCGTTTGTTAAAATAGCGTTTCAAATTTGTGAAAGTGAACCCTCATGGCAAGGATAGACAAGCATCTCTGATGCAAGTCATCCAAGACACCAACGTATTTATGGATCCTAATTATTATGGATCAATGGTTGAGGAAGCCAGTGGCAATTTCATGGACCTGGTGGAATTTATTGGCGACAGTCAAGATCATCTGGACTTGATAACATCTGCAATGCGTAAGCTGGGTCTTGGTCATTTTGATTCTCTACCTGCTCTAAACCTTCCTCTTGTGGGTGATGAGACAGTAGGCCGAGCCCGACTTATGCAAAGATTTCTCAAAGACGAGAATCATGCAAATTTATTTAATTGGGAGCCTGAGGTCATTGAGCCTACTGGAAACCTACAAGAAACCTCCGGTCTGATTTCTCCACAGATTACGGATATTATTTCAAACTTACAGGAGGCTTTCAAAGAATCATTAAAGGCGACTGTGGAAAGTCTGACAAAGCCAAACGAGTTGACGAAGGTCTGGGTAGATACTTCTCTAGATAGAAAAAAATTTGACGGAAAAATTTAGGAGTATTGGAAATGGAAGGACTTCTTTGTCCATGCTTTCCTTTCAAACCCAATTTGCACCAACGTTAAAAAATTTTTGGCTTTAAAAGATTTATTGGAAGGACCTCCTTTGGAGGCTCTTCAACATATCAATTTTGTCAAAGGCGCTGCTGAAGTGGGCCTGAAATTATTAGACAAGAGATATGATTCTGTGCCCTTAATTGGCAATGAACTCTGTTCCAAATCAATTGCGACCAAACCAATAAAATGGAGTACTCCTAAAGAATGGGAGAGTTTTGGAAACCTCATTGGATCTGTATTAATGCAGTTCATGAGATCCGGGAAGAATGAAGATCAGGAGTATCTCATTTCTCAACTGGTTTTGAAGCTCCCTTTGCAAAGTTGCCTTAAGTGGATTTGAAAAGCAAATAAGGGTAACTACAAGAAGTCTTCTGGTATTGAAAAACTGGCACAATTTCATGAATTTGTTTTGTCCATCGCAAAGGAATTAAGAGCTGCAGTTATTCCCATAACACGAAAGAAGAACCGCCAAAGCCTCCTTTTAAAGGCAAGGAAGAGTTCTGTAAGAAACCCTTCTGGGAAGGTAAATATGCAATTGACAAGGAAAATCCAAAATCTTTCAAATCAAAATCTTCTTGCATTGTTTGCAATGGCAAGCATGCCATTGAAGCCTGCGGCATCTTTGCCAAAATGTCACCAGACAATAAACTGCTCAAAATTTACAAACATCAAAATTGCTTTTATTGTTTAAAGAAGCATGGTAGATTCTGCAAAAACCGGAAACGGTGTGAAGCAGATGAAAATTGTAGAGGTTGGCACCATTTGCTTTTGCATGGTGCAAAAACCTTGGATGGATTATTGGGTCAAAAAGGCCCCAAAAAAACTGCAGTGATGGCCATAAATGAGTCAATTTGCATTACTAATCATGACTCAAAGGCCTCACCATTTGATTTGCAAATGACAATGAGACTAGTATCTCTAGACGTCAAAGGTCCATTTGGTACCAAAACGGTAACTGCGTGGCTTGACCCTGCCTGCGTACAAACATACATTAAAGAAAGTCTTGCCAGGGAAATTGGCTTAGTGGCTGAAGCTACTGGAAGCATTCTAGTTCATACTGCTATTGGCGTGTCTGGACGAGAAGTGTCCAAAGTAAGCTTATCTTTCAAAGGCAACAAGGAAACCATCACTTGGTTTCAGGCTAAAGACACCATTTCAGTACGGCAATTATTAACTCCAAAGCCATATATGGACTGGCATGAATGGATCGGAAAAAATTCAGACTTTGCAAAAGTCAATTTTCCTGAGCTACCTGAGGGTGATGCTCAAATTATTGTTGGATTAGACAATGAAATTCTGATGCTTCCAATCCCAGAAACCCTCATTCAAAGGGGAAAAGCCCTAGCATTTAAAACCCAATTGGGTTGGACTATTTCTGGATGCATCTGCTTAGAAAATGGATGTGTATCTGAAACACATGTGCTATATTCTACTTGGGAGTCTCCTGAGACCACCAAGCTTTTACTAGAAGAATTCTGTTGTTTTAGTGCCTTGGAAACCATTGGAGTTTCCGTACAAAATGATGGACTTGAGTATGACCAGGCAAAAGACCTGGAAGAACTCAAGAAAAACTTCAAATAGGTCAAGGGAAGGTTCCAAGTTGGCATGTTGTGGAAACCAAAAATTGAATTTCCGATGTCAATAAGGCAAGCTGAAAGGCGAGCCAAAACAATGTCCAACCGATTGAGACGCAATTCGAAAGTTCTTGAGATTGTGCATCAGGGATTTCAAGAAGACACCCAAAAAGGGTGCATCAGCCTTCTGAATAAACCCACTCTTGAACAATTCATGAGTACAAATGATCACTGGGTTTTGACCTGGATGATTGTAATGCATCCCAACAAGCCTGATAGGCCTTGTCAAGTTTTGGATGCAGCTGCAGAAAACTGCGGAATTTCATTAAATTCATTGCTGAGAAAGTATTGCCTCAAGTATTGCCAACTGTTGCAGGCGTACTTTTGAGATTCAGGCTCAAGAAAATTGTAGTTAATGCAGACGTCAAAGAGATGTTCCCGCAAATATTGGTAAGATCTGAAGACAGGTCAAAATTATTTTCTGTATTTAAAAATCCCAAACGGGGGGAGCAGTGGTATGTTAATAATAGGCACATTTTTGGTGCCACCTGCTCCCCAGCCATTGCCAACTTCTGTGTTAGGCAAGTCAGCGAACTGGAGGAAAAGGATGATCCTGAGTTCCAATGGATTATGAACAACTGTTTTCATGTTGACAATTTGTATGTAGGCTTTGGTACAATTGAAGAAGCAAAACTTATGGTTACAAAAATTGACCTAGCCATGATGAAGTATGGATTCATCATGGTGAAATGGAAATCAAACTTTCCAGAGGTCCTGATTTCAATTCCAGAAGAGCAATGAGATTGTTTGGAAAAAAGCATCAACGGGACTAACGTCTCGAAGGCTTTGGAGTTACACTCTGGAACCCTGTTGATGATTTCCCAAGACTTTGGGTTGCTGAGGCCATTTGTCCTTGAAAGAGCTTAAGAAATCGGGTCCTTCCAGCCAAAACTTTGAGGCTTCCCTCATCTCATTGGCTGTGGTTCCTCTGCTGATTAAATCAGCAGGGTTCAATTTAGTTGGAACTTGGTAAAATTTTGAAGTTGTTCAGTTGCCCAGAGGCTTCTCTAGAAATTCCTGCATTTT